CCCCCCCCACACACACACACCAACCCCAGGGGAGCAGCACCTGCCGAGAGTCGCAGCCCCAACTCGTCGAAACTTTGCCATCTGAACAGCAATGATGCCCCGGGCGTTTGAGAGAGGGCCATATCACATTCATGCAGCCACCCCCTTTCCCTCCCTCCCCCCAACCCTCCCATCTCCGCCATCCACGAACGCACCCCGCCCCCCTCCACTCCCTTAACAACCCCTCAGCAGCGCTTTCTGTGTGAGGGGTGTTTTTTATTTTGCCCCCCCGATGTAATAATGTCATTCAACTCCTCCCCCCTTTACTCCCGTTTTCTCCTATATGAAATGGTAGCGCGGATTGCCAACACGGAATAAGAGAAAAACAGATGAACAAAAAAACAACAACAAATAATTGCGCTGCACATCCTTTGCTTCTCAGATGAGTCATACTACGGGCTACGGGTACTTTATTATTTGTAACATTCCATTGATTTTCTTTTGTGTAAGATGTGTTTTCAGGCTATAAACCGAGCCCTTGCGAACATCGTCCGAAGCAGTGACATGTCGGCAGATCCTTCTACACCGTGCGGCAGATCAAACCGAGGGAGCGGTCGGAGCGGTCGCTCTGTTGGTCTGTGTGAGGGGTAGGCCCACCGCCCCGACACCTGCCCCCCCCCCTATCCCTCCGTTGCAGACAAATCTGAATATATGGCGCCTGTATGAAGAAACGTCTGTAATCGTATATGTGTAAGGGATATTTGTGGGCGGCGCTTGCGATCGTAAAGATGTGTGCGTTTTCCTCCGTGTCGAGTTTTACAAACGGCGATAGCAGAGTCGTCTGGAGCTGCCCCTCGTACTGTTAAAAATTACAACAGTAAATAACTACAGAATGGACTGGTAGTTTTGAAAACAGTGTAATCCTGTAGTTTGCAGTGTACCTTACTCTGGAGGAAAGTTCTTTTTCAAGCAATGTCAAGTCTATATCCCTCAAATACCAGTCGAACAGGTTTTGACCGAAGTATGGAAGTATACAGGACGATCTGTATGAATTCTGTTTCTGAGTGCAGAATTTTTAACAGTGCGGGAGCAGTGACACAGTACAGAGATTTTTAGAAATGATTCTTTGGCATGTAAAAGAGTGACGGCTTTTTATTATTTATTTTTTTATTTTTTGGATCGTGAGCCATGGTGCGACCTACAGATCAGACAGAAATGCTAGTCAGATCGGATGGATTACACTCTTATTTCCTTATGGACACGCTTACAGAGAATTTTGTGCTAACGAATTATGGATCATGGATCGCAGACATAATACGTTAGCACAAAATTCTCCATAACATACGGATAGCACATCCATAGGGAAATGAGAGTGTAAATCAGGGTGCTCACCGTATGTAAACCTTATTTAAAAGATAAATAAAAAGCAAGAGACAAGTCAAATAAAAATAAACTCGGTTTCCGATGATTAAGCAGTTGGTCGTCGCACTCAGCACACCCATCCTCGTCCGCCCCGCACACGGCCGAGTGTGGGGGACTAATGGCAAACATCTCTCAAATTTTAATAATATCTCCTTCGGACATTTTTTATGTTGACAAATTTAAAAAAGAAACAAAAAAAAAATGAAAATGTGCGCGCGACCTCGTGGGCTCAATAAACTGGCGCGCGGCTCGGCCCACCCCATTGGGCGGGAGGTCCAGCGCGCCGATCTCTCGATAATAACCTAATTGCTCGACCCCATCCATCACTGTGTGTGTTCTCCA